ATGAAAAGTGGAGTTGGGTTGCGGCACAGGAGAGAAATTCAGACGGGGAATATTGGAGTAATGACTGCAGTGGGAGAAGAGGGAAACTGTTTCCCTGGCCACAGGCCTGAGGCCCTGGACCACAGGGCTGGTAGCTTCTCCGAGTGGCTGCAGCCTGGGACCTCTGGCCGATAGCTTGTCCATCTCCTGGGCTGCAGCCAGCCGCAGGCACTGGCGCTTCTCCGTGTCCCCTGTGATACACTGGGCAGCTTCTCCGGCAGCTGCAGCCTGAGATCATGGGCAGGCGGCTTCTTCATCTCCTAGGCCACAGCCAGCCTCAGGCGCTAGGGCCCGGCTTCTCAGTCTCCCCGAGGACATGGGGCAGGCGGATGTGGGGCAGGCGGCTTCTTCAGCTGGCTGCAGCCTGAGATCATGGGGTAGGCGGCTTCTTTATCTCCCGGGCCCAAACCAGCCTCAGGCGCTGGAGCCAGACTTCTCTGTCTCCCCTGACTTCTGTGTCTCCAACAGGCCTGGAGTGGCCAAAGCCTGGATGCTTACATGGCTGCAAAGCAAGTATCCCGACTCCAGCCTCCTCTATCTTTGTTGGGTTAACTTGCATATCACTCCTGATTGGCTGGTGGCCGTGGCTTGTGGGCATCGCAAAGGGACAGTTAATTTGCATGTTTCTCTTTTATTAGTGTAGATGCTCTTCCCTAAGAGTGATGGAGATTTTCTGTAGATTACAATTGCCAAGAGTCAAATAAGTGCCGTGGACAATTTGAAGAGGAGGGACTGGTTTGTACTTAAAGAGGCAAAGCTCCAACCATTCGGATTTCTCTGCCTCTCTTACCTTTTTCAGGAAACCCAGCACAAACGGGTTCAGCTGGTCAGGCTGGACCCAGGAAGAAGCCACTGTTCTTTAGGCAGCAAAATCCTGGCAGAGGGCTGAGTCAGGGCTGAAACCCTCCTGCTCCACTCTGAGCTCTGGCTGTGTCTGTCCGGGCTGGAGGCATGTTTTTCTAATCCACACACAGGCCTAAAGGAGTGACTTTTTCTTTCTCTCTTTCTTTTAAAATATATTTTTATTGATTTTTAGATAGAGAGGAAGGGAGAGGGAGAAAGCAATAGAAAGATGGATGAGAGAGAAACATTGATCAGCTGCCTCCTGCATGCCCCCCACCGTGAACTGACCTACAACTCGGGCTTGTGTCCGGGCTCAGAATCAAACCCACTATCTCTTGGTGCATGGGAGGACTCTCAATCCATTGAGCCACACCAGCCGGACAAGGGCGAGGGGTGCCTGTTTCTATTCTCACAGAAATACCTTGTGGGTTAGTAGTGGTGGTGGTGATGGTGAAAAGGAAAATGGGGGTAGGGGAGCTTGCAACCTAGTTCAGTATCTGGTTAAAACTGTAGTCTTACTTCCCCACGCTGACTTGGGCGGAGCTGCAGGGCCTAACCCCAGGGCCCCGTCACAGCTGACTTGGGCGGAGCTGCGAGGACCCTCAGAGGCCACCACAGGAGGAGATATATAGGTCAGAGCCTCCCCGCGAGTTCAGTTCAGGCTTTGGATCCGGAATTCCCTGTGCATTCTGCCACAACAATGGGGAGCTTTCTGGGGACACTGACCAAAAAACTGGGGTATTTAAAAGTAGTCTTTGCAGTCAGCCAAAAGCTGAGTGGGACTCTAGCACCCCTCAATGGGTTTACAAGGAGCACCTGAGCCTGCCCTAGACTTTCAGCCTGTCCTCCTTCCCCACCAGTCCCCTAGCTTACCTTCCAAGCGAACCTCGATGTGCCCCAGATACCGTCCAGCAGGTAGGAATCAGGCCATAGGCTCTGGTGCAAGAAATGTCACACTGCCTTGTTTTTGTTAAATCAACAGCTGAAATGGCACAAAATTCAGTCCTGGTGGTTATTTTGATGCCCTCCTCCTCCCTGGGGTGGCTCAGGGCCCTGAACACGACTGTTCTTCTGTAACGATCTATTTGTACGTCTTAACTCCTTCACCTTTTTCACCCACCCCACACCCCGCTCCCAGACACTTTCAATAGTAAGAGATTAAACCCCTGTCACCTTCTCAGCCTGAGTCAGATTCCTCCTCTCGGCTTGTCAAGCCACTGAATATGCTGAAATGCATGCTGTCCAGTGGGTGACCTCCCCATCTTGAGGGCAGGGCTGCCCTGGGTTCCCTCCGTCTCCCTGGGACATGGCTCCCAGCATGAATGAATGGATGACTCATAGCCTTGATTCATTTGTGAATGAGCAGCTTTATCCCCAACTAACAGTGACGTTCCTTTGATGGCAAAGACCAGCCATGTTCTACAGGTTTGTTTGCTCTCCAAGAGCTTATGACATTTGCCTCCCACTGACTGGGGTTAGGTGAGTGCCCCCAAGAAACCAGTTGCTGGCTGGACTGACATGCTCTGAAGAACTGGCGGTGTTACCGATGAGACCATGAGGCCTCAGTTCTTGTCTTCTTTTTTTGATATTTTCATACAGATTTTTTATTTTTTTAATATATTATATATAAAACCATAGAGACCAACACCCTCCCTAAACTCCTTTCCCCCTCCCTGTAGTGGGGTGGGGGGCCTGGAGGAGAGCTGGGGAAGGCCCCCCCAGGAGTGGGTGGACAGAGAGACAAATATAGATAGGACAGATGTGGGGGAGAAGGTAGAGGGAAGGGAAGCTGGAACCTGGGGAAGGGGGATTGGAGAAAAGGGCTGGGGCTGTCTCCCTCACCTCCTCCATCAAAGTTATGACACAAAGACACAGAATCCCTGTTTTCACACCCTCCCCCCAACCCTTACCCCCACCGTGCAAACATGGCTTTGCAAAGAGGTGCCCAGAGCTCTATGGAGCTCCTACAATGGCTGGCATGAGGTCTTGGACCCCCAAAGAAATCTGCGTTTCCCTTCTCTGCCCACCCCACCCTTCCCAGAATCTGATCCCCTCCCCACATGACCTGGTTCTGCAGCTTAGGGGCCCTGGCCTTCCCCCTGTTATCTTCCCCCCA